GGTAGTCGTGGCCTTACAACTTTAATTGGGCCAGAATTACAGCTGTTTGTGGTGATGGTGAAGTAGGTTGTTGCATAACCATGCCTGATTTTATGACCTTGTAGTAGTTATTAAGCAAATGCCATAGTCAAATGAAAATTACAACTGCCATGTTTACATAATGTAGTCATTACGTAAACATGGCAGTTGTTGAATGAACCCATTATACCCAGTAGATGGGTTTTGCCAGGTTTTTGGTGTTTATTATTTCTTGTTAATTCACTATTGATTTAAATAAAAGTTAATGGAATATATTTTTTATTTATTTTATTTATATATCATACTTTTTAACTGCCAATTTCCCTCAGAGAAGGACTTTATATAATCATGTCAGAAATATATAAATACTTTTGATTTAGCGTCCTGATTATAACTAAGTGAGGTTTTAAATGATACAGTATAACTTACAAACTTATATTAATTTATAACCCTATGTATAAGTTATACGATAAGTAAGAAACACAGTATATATATATATACTTTATTGAGTCAAAGGCCATGGTCTCAATGATCGTACTTAAGAATTTCAAGGTTTTGGTATTTGTAATTCTTAAATGTATTTTCAATTGCTGTTCTATCTGAATGCAGCTATATCCATTAGATTAAGCCAGTATGCTCAGATCAAGGTTGAGTTATGTATTCAGAACTTGATTACTTTATCTCTTGATTTCAGTGAAAAACATTCTTTCCATATTTGCTATATTTTTTTCAATCAGGCTGCTGGTTCCAAATATTTTATTCTGTCATTTTTATCTACTGATTGCATTTAGGAACAGGCTACTAAAATTGTGCTATTTTAGTATATATTATATCCATTTGTATTGACAATTTCATTATTGAAAGATTCTCCCTAAAGCCGTGGAAAAGCTTACGATGTTTTTAAAGCAATAAAATATTACTGTTGTAATTTTCTATAATACAAACATTAAGTTTTAGTTTAATATCTAGAGTAGATATAATTGTTTACCACTGAAGGAGCAGATTTGATGCAGATATATTCAAGTGTCTGTAAAGAGTGGATTTACCTCCACTTCTGGAATGATAGAATTAGAATTAGAATAGAATAGAATAGAATAGAATAGAATAGAATAGAATAGAATAGAATAGAATAGAATAGTTCAGTGGTGGCGAACCTATGGCACGGGTGCCAGAGGTGGCACTCAGAGACCTCTCTGTGGACATGTGTGCCGTCGCCCCAGTCCTAGGCCTTCAGCTGGGTTTTATAAAACCATTTCGCTTTAGGCCTCCTCTGCCATGTGCAACAAAAAAAAAAGGTTCAATCAATCAGTCAATTTCAACTTCTCGTGGGAAAAAAAAGATCTTGCAAAGTTGGAATTGATTGATTGAACTTTTTAGTCCCACCCAGTCTGCCATTACCACCGCAGCCATGCCCAGCCAATGGCCCACACCTACCCAATGGGCCACACCCACCCGGCACCCGACAATGTATAAGTGGGTTTTGGGTTGCAGTTTGGGCACTCAGTCTCTAAAAGTTTGCCGTCACTGGAAGAGTTGAAAGGAATCTTGGAGTCTTCTAGTCCAACCCCCTGCTCAGGCAGGAAACCCTATATCATTTCAGAAAAATGGTTGTCCAATCTCTTGTTAAAAACTTCCAGTGTTGGAGATTTCACAATTGATTAATTGTTCTAACTGTCAGGAAATTTCTTCTTAGTTCTGCATTGTTTTTCCTCCTTGATTAGTTTCCATCCATTGCTTCTTGTCCTGCCCTCAGATGCTTTAGAGAATAGGTTGACTCCCTCTTCTTTGTGGCAAACCCTGAGGTATTGGCACACACTTCTCTTCTTTAAATTAGACATACTCAATTCCAGCAACCGTTCTTTATACGTTTTAGCCTCTAGTGCCCTGATCATCTTTGTTGCTCTTCTCTGTACTCTTTCTAGAGTCTCAACATCTTTTTTACATCATGATGACCAAAATTGGATGCAGTATTCCAAGTGTAGCCTTACCAAGGCACTGTAAAGTGGTATTAACACTTCACGTGATGTTGATTCTATCCCTCTGTTAATGCAGCCAAAACTGTGTTGGCTTTTTTGGTAGCTGCAGCACACTGCTGGCTCATATTTAAGTGATTGTCCACTAGGACTCCAAGATCCCTCTCACAGTTACTACTATTGAGCAAGGTACCCCCTATACTATACCTGTGCATTTGGTTTTTCTTGCCTAAGTGTAGAACCTTACTTTTTTCACCATTGAATTTCATTTTATTAGATAGCGCCCAATGTTCAAGTCTGTCAAGATCTTTCTGTATCTTAAGCTTATCTTCTGGAGCGTTGCCTATTCCTGCCAGTTTGGTGTCATCTGCAAATCTGATGAGTTCCCCATCTATCCCCTCATCCAAATCATGGATGAAGTTGTTGAAGAGTACTGAGCCAAAAACAGAGCCTTGGGGTACCCTACGGCATACTTCCCTCCATGTTGATGCAGTTCCATTGAGAACTACACACTGAGTGCGGTTGGTCAGCATGTATCCTCAATGGAACTGCATCCACATCTGCATCTATTGTTCAAAGCAGTATTGTAAAAATGTATTGAAAATAAGTAATAAGTGGAAATGTTTAATGCCACTATAAAATTCTGTGTGAATCCTACACCATTATTTAAATTACCCTTTTTTCTTCAAATGATGGTTTAATGAAAGCCCTAGCTGATTGTACTGAAAGATGAAATTATGTCTACTGAATTGGGTTACTATAGTTACATTCAAAATTCCAATAGAAGAATTAGAATAAAATTAGATTTAATAAGCATTGGAACTCAGAGAAAGAGTAATTTTAGTGATAGTAATCACTTAAATTCTACCCATATATAATATTGGATATGTTTGTCATCAGGGAAAACATTTGAATTTGTTAATGCATTGAATTAGACTTCCTACAATGACTAATATTAATAATAGCAAGTTATTTATTTTTGCTTCAAAATTTCTAATATATTATGTAGCTAAACATCATAACAGAAATATGGTTATTATTGCTGCTTTTATTTGGAAGAATCAACAATTAGCTGCTGTATATTAAAAGCAGGCAATTTACTGCTTTAATGCTTTTGGAGCCTTCAAGTTGCTTTTGAACACGACACAAAAACTGATGATATGTTTCCTACCATTTTAGACATAGGAAATACTTTAAAATGTCCTAAAGTAGTCTTAATGTCATTTTAAAGCAATGAAAGGATTCAGGAAAACACAGAAAGGAAAAAAAAAAACCAGATCCTGAGTCTCTTTGTAGTATCACCTCTTTCTCAGTGAGGATTTAGATAGTTCTCAGTTAAAAAATGACAGTTAACAATATTCATGTGGCTTTAAGGCCACTGCATGTCATGTCCAGGGTATGTGGAAGGGATGGGACGAAGAAGCAATGACTCTAAACCTTTATGGGTTTTAAAATCAAGAGCACTGTTTTATATGGCTTAATTCTCATGTAAAGAATCTTACCGGCCAATTCATGTCCAAAACCTCTGCCAAGTCTTGCTGAGGAACCAAACTAAACAATGAAATGCCAGAAGATATATAATTTGTTGCCAAGTACCAATTGCAAATAGTCAATCATGAAAAAGGGAGAAAAAAAATCTTCCTCCTTTCTCCCAGTACAGATGTGCCTCTCAGTTCTCCTAAGATTAGACCCCATTAATGCTTTTGATATATAAAAATTCTCCGAATTGGGCTTGCAAAGGCCAATGCTGGCAGAAGGGATTTCTGGATTCAAGTAAGGGCTGGGATGAAATTAAGAGCAGTTTGCCAGTTTTGCCTTCTAGATCAAATAAGAATACTGAATGGTGAAACTGTGGTATACTATTCTTTAGTAATCTGGTGATAGGTTCATTGTGAGCAAGCAAATCTTTCACTAAACATGAGGTTGAATTAGATGTCTAAGTCTCTTCCCAGCTGAATGATTCATTGACTGTTGGATGTTTGCAAATGAAAACCACATGTTGTCAAATATCTGCCTACATAAAGAAAAGTAAATAGTGCTTGTTTTCTCAACCCTGGAGGAAGAAGTGAAGAAGGTCATAGCTAGTGGCTATGGTTAGTGCTGTCTAAACAGAACATCTGGCCTGGATCATTGTCAGAGCTTGAAAACTAGGTTTATATCTAGCCAGATCAGCATCGAAGATAAATACCTTAAGGCTGCCATGAAGAATTACCTTAAGGTTACTATATGAAGAAATTTTCTAACAGGATGGAAGTTTTTAGCTTGAATCTAACTGTACTTCCACAAATGGAATAGATAAATTAGGTGCCATTCATTGAGTCCAATTTCTGATGAATTCCTAGATAAATACTTGCCATCTTAACCTGTCTTCCATAATATCATACAGCTTTTTCAAGGACATTCCAGCAATGTCTTTCCTACTGTCCATGTTTTTATCCTGTCCCCCCCCCTTTTTTTTTTTACTTCTTTTAGCCTAGCCAGCCAAACACAGTCATTCTCTCTCGTACTACATCTTTTTGCATCATTTCAAAGCAGATGAGGAGGGGGGGGGGACTATTGCAGAAGGAGGAGCGGAAGGTTAGGCATCATTGCATGAGTGAATGGAAACCTGCTGGCACAATATTGTATTTTGAAAGGGACAGTTTAGGCCTTTCACCAAAGGGTCAGTAGTATCTATCCTTTAAGATGGGTCTTCAAACTAGGCTGGCTGAGGTCTTCTGGGAGTTGAAGTCCACAAGTCATAAAAGGGCCAAGTTTGAAGACCCTTGATTTAAGACAAATATTCTATTTGAGATGCTAGTGTAAATTTATTTTATGAAAATAGGCTGGATTGGTAAAAATAGCCTTCCCTAACTTGGTACCCTTTGATTATGAACACTGCACTCCTTGAATCTAACCAATGGCTTTGCTGAGGGACACTGGGGAGAAGGTTGATACAAAGTAATAGTGTCATAGACAGAAATGGTACTACTGCTTTTTATCTGACTGATTTTTAATTTTTATTTCCAGAAATCGGGGCTCTATGAATATAAAATCTACAGCATACTTACTGATTGTTCCCCAGAGCTATGTGCTGAAGTTTATATGGACTTAAACTACAGAACAAAATGGGACCAATATGTTAAAAGTTAGTAAATAATTCTAATGTTTCTTCTGTATTGTTATCATTTCTAAGATTCTTTCATTCTACTGTTTTAAATTCAAAGATGATTAATTCAGTGAGTGAACTTTTCTTCCTTAAAATACAAATGCTATTTAAAATGCCCTTCTAGTGTTTATAAAATAACTTTGAAAGTATAGGTACCGTATTTATTTGAGAAAATAAATAGATAGCCATTTATTTCAATCAACCCTCTTTGATCCTTCAGTGATATTCTCATTTAGCTTTACTGGTCCTCAGTATGAGGAAATCTTCTAAAACAAAATTTTATTTTGCCTAGAGAAAGTTTTTGATGTGTGTGTGTGTATTCTATAAATCATAAATGCTCAATATAATGAAAATTAACATAAATTAAGGCATGGAAACATAATACAGACAATTTTAGTATATTACTTTGCATTGTCTGCTTCTCTTATCAGGTAATGTGCGTTTCATTCCTTTTGCATGCAATTTGTTGACTACCTTTATATCTACAATGTATATAGTAAGGCTGTAGGTGTACATTTTGTAATTGGAAAAATTTTTTCTGGTTATGAAGTGGCTGTTTGATTTAAATATTGTATGAAGGCCTTATAACTGAAAGAAGGCCAATAAGCATTCCTTGTAGAGCGGGTAAACTAGCACAGGGGAAACTGTGGGAGAATTTATTAATTATAGAAAAGATGGAAAGGTGACTGGCAGAATTGTGACTAAAAGAATACTAGAAGTTAAAATGAATTATAATGTGAAAAGGTTGATGCAGTTTTATGACATAGAGGGGTTATATGGAGCTGATTTTTACTTTCAGGAATTAGGAATTATATGAAAGTGAAAAGAGAATTAACTCTGTTTGTTGATTTAAAGAAAGCATGCAGTAAAGTTGAGTAGGCTTGTTTTGCACAAATATGGTGTTGAAAAATGATTTCTGAATTCTGTAAGAGTGATATACCATGGAAATAAAGCATGCATAAGAATAAATAGACTTAAAAAATGGTTCAGTATTGATCAGGAAAAGAAATAGAAATGTGCTGTTCCATTGATCGTTTAATATATTTATGGATAGATGTGTAAGATTAGAAATGTCCTGCCTGGAGATATAAGTATACATTTGTTTGGTACCAAATTAATACGCCAGTGACCTCTGGTGGAAAATGTGATATTCATATGACTTACTATTTTCTGGGAATTCTACTCTATTCCATTAGAAAGTTGGCATTGAATATGAAATCCTGTGAAAATAAGATATTTCAGAGTAGCAACATGTGATTAAGCCTTCCATATGTTTGTGAGGAAGTCTTAAGAATTTAAGAGAATTCTCATTCTGATATGAACATCTGTAGTCACTTCACGCACACACACACCACGCATCCCGTAGCAGTATTAGTTGAAAAGTACAAAATGGCCTTTTTGACTTTTAAGATTAGCATGATATTATTCTTCAGGATGCATTTCATTTAGTTGTCTAAAAATACTGACAATGTATTCAAGAGCATCTTCTAGTATCAACCCATAAACTGCTTCAGTCAGGTGCATGACATTTCCTATTTGTCAAGCGATTCCAGCTGGAGCTTGAGAGTAGGTAAGACCAACAATGGTGCAGCAATTTTGGAACTTTCTTCAAAAATAAAACTTAGTGAGAAACATACCATTTGTTAAAACATGAAAAAGCACCAATTGTATTGTTTGTGGTTTTTTGTGTTTTGGTCTTTTTTTTTTGACTACAGGTTATTTTTAGGGAGAAGTTTATTTAAGTATTCTAATGACAGTTTTTAAATGTTTAAAAAGAAATTAATGAATTATTATAAAAAGCAATCAACCATTTTAATTTGTGTTGATGGAAAAGTAGTTAACTTTAACTAACTGATAACTTAATTTTAAGAACTAGGTTACACAAGACAGCTTGAAAAACTAAAAAAAAAAAACTATTGAGGCCTTAGAAATATAGGCCACACTTTATGAAACATAACTACATAAATTATCTATGGTTGTTGACAATAGAAAGGAAAAACTATATTGAAAGAGATTTAGTAGCATTTTTGGATTGAGTTCTAGTTTGATGAATAATTATATTTTTATACTATTTTTTTATATTTTTTATACTATATATATGTTTTCTGAGGTTTTCGCAGGTGTTTGTATGTAGGTCTTTGGTTATTCGGGTTTTCTCCCACGTAAAATTGGAAGTGTCTTGGCAATGTTTCGACGAAGTCCCATTCGTCATCTTCAGGCTGGTGTTTTCAGCTTCGTGCTTCGAGGAGCAAATGTTACTCTGCAACGTGCTAAATTGATTCGCATCTGGCAGCTTGTTGGTGGACCTGACGATTGTATTCCAATCCTCCATTGCTTTTCTAGCAGATGCCTGGGGGCAGCTGTCAGGCTGTCTCTGCTCCTTATCTCTCCTCCCTCTCATTTTGGAGCGATCTCTCAATTTGCTTTTCAAATGCCCTGTGGGGCTGTCATCCTCTCCTAAGGCTGCTGTTGTTTCCGGTAGCTCCCTCTCCTCGATCCTGCAAAGAGCCACTATTCGGATGTTCCTACTTCATATTTCCCCCCCCCCCCTTATGTCTCTCCTTCCGAGCCGCTTCCGCGTGTCCATTTCCAACATCCAATCTTGACACCTCATTAGTTTGTCATCTCCTCCCATAGCAGATCTTGCTGCCTCATCTGCAGCCCTGTCACTCCAGTCCTGCCAGTTGCTAGTTTCACCCGGCCCCCTTCTCTTTTGCCGGTTCGCTGTCCTCCCTAGGGATTGCAGCTTCCCCATTTGTAAAGCCATGGTCTTGCTTTTGCACAGTGTGGGGTGGCCATTTACTCCATGGATTACAATGTTGTCTCTCCCACCTTCTGGTACGCTGATAGGAGGTCTATATGCCAGTTGATGGAATTCTCATCCGAAAGCCAGGCTTCTTTAAGAAGGCAGCCACCCTTAGTGGTCTCACGAGATATGGTCTGCGCATTTTCCAGATCGAATGTGTGGTTCAGATCGGCCATGTGAGCCCACATGACGTCAGTAGTTTGGCTGACGAAAGCTCAGTAACTCTTTTACTTACAGGCTTGTTTATATTAAACGGTCCTGTTTATTTTTATCCTGATGTTTGTTTTTCTATATTTTCATTGACATGTGTATGCCCAGGATTCGCATTTTTAATGATATTAAGGACACACACACACACACAAACACACACACACACACACACAGAGAAAGTTTTTCAGACAGACCGGTCTGACTGATTACACCCTGGCATTTTGACTGCTATATTGCAGTTCTACTTTTTTTTTATAATCCCTTTGTCAGCAAAAAGAAATCTGAATATATAGAAAGATTTTGTGTCCACTGCTCTGCTTCACTGTCACTCTAACAATTTCATAATAGAGCCACTGCTAGAAGAAATAATGAGAGGAAATAGAATTCTTTTTATTTTTCTCACCTTATCCAAGAAAAAGCTTTCTCCATTTTGTATCTCCTAGTACTTTGCTGTTTTGAGATGGCCAGAAGAGGATTCATTATGAGGATGAGACAGTCCTAGGGGCTTAAGTTACAGAGCCATGGATTTTCTGCTGGAAAAAGGAGGGCTCTTGACAGATACTTACTATTCTTATCTTATGTATATAATTTGTCATGTCTATAACCTGCCTTTCCTCAAGGCAGTGTACATAGCATTCCCTCCTTCATTCCCTCCTTCACTTTTACCCTAAAATGTGAGGTAACTAGAGAAAGAATCATTAGCTCAAAGGGCTGAGCTGGACCGAACCTGGGCCTCTCCAGGCCTAGCCCAACATCTTAACCATTCCACCAGAGACACTATGCTTTATTTATCTGTCTGTTCTATTCTGTTTCTTGTGGGAAAGGCAATTTATTGTTAGATGTTATGGATCTGATAAGCTAGTCTTTCCCAATCTGGCTGCATTCCAAATAGGTGGATCTTTGAATTGTCATCAGTGGCCATGTTGGCTGGAAAATTCTGGGAGATTAAGTATAATTGAAGGGGACACAACCTACTGTATATTAAAGTTCAGCCTCTTTTAGATCCCATTGTGTTGCTTGGAAAATTGTTTCTTTTCTTTGAATCTGAACTGTATACAATAATGTATGTATGTATGTATGTATGTATGTATGTATGTATGTATGTATGTAGAAGGTAGTTTTTTTGGGCAGGCAACATGAGACTAAAGATATACTGTAGGTGAATGGAATAGTGAGGAAGAGAGAAAATTTGCAAGAAAATGCTGAAGGAGTTATTGTATATTGTACAGCTAAATTTGGAACAACATCTATTGGCTGTGGCCAGGGGGACCTTTGCCCAGGTTCGCCTGGTGCACCAGTTGCGGCCTTATTTGGACCGGGAGGCTCTACTCACAGTTACTCATGCCCTTGTCACCTCAAGACTGGACTACTGTAATGCACTCTACATGGGGCTACCCTTGAAGAGCGTTCGGAGGCTGCAGTTGGTTCAGAATGCAGCCACGAGAGCGATTGTGGGTGCAGCAAGGTACACCCACGTGTCACCTATCCTCCGCGAGCTGCACTGGCTTCCCGTGGGTCTCCGGACGCAATTCAAGGTGTTGGTTGTCACCTTTAAAGCCCTTCATGGCTTAGGACCAGGTTACTTACAGGACTGCATACTGCCGCATAGTTCCCAGAGACCGGTGAGGTCCCACAGATTGGGCCTCCTTCAGGTCCCATCGGCCAGACAATGTCGGCTGGCGGGCCCTCAGGGAAGGGCCTTTTCTGTGGTGGCTCCGACGTGGTGGAATCAACTTCCCCCCGAGATTCGAACTACTCCTACTTGCCGGCCTTCAAGAAAGCTATTAAAACTCTCCTGTTCCGGCAGGCTTGGGGTTGATGTCCCTGGGGGGGGGGACGGGATTCAATTGGGACATGCTGTGTGAATGTATGCATTTTTAATTGTTATATTTGTTGTTTTAATTTTGTATGCCGCCCTGAGTCCCTAGGGATTGGGTGGCATATAAATTTTATTAATAAATAAATAATACATAAATAAGTATATGAACCTTACTTGGGACATTTTTAGGTCCAAGCAATCTGTAGACAGAGACTTAACACATCTTGATTTTACATAATTGCTCCGCATGGTTCTCTCCTTTCATGACAGATATTTTTCCCCAGTGCAACAGAGTCAGAAGTACTTTTTTTGTTTTTCTTTAATGAGGCTAAACAAATGATGATAGATAAATAATTTCTCTTAATATTCTTTCCTATTCTTCCTCTGTAGAACTTTTCGTTTTCCTGATGCACTCTTTTTAAAAAGTCAGGACTGTTTGGGGGAATTCATTTTCCTTTGGCTCTGAGCTTCTCAGGGGTTACTTTTGGAAGCTAAAGCTGCTATCCACTGAGAGGCAGTTAAGATGTAGTGATTCCATAATTGCTACCATGGTTTCTGGCCTTGATTTCATTAACCTGCAATTTATTCTGAATAATAATAATCTATAAAAATTACCATGTACTAGTAACAAAAAACTGATGGAACGTCTTAGTTGAAAAAATAGTCGAGAATGAATGTTTAAAATATTGCGGGATTTAATACAAATGGATAAAGCCGTGGCTCATAACAAGAAAGTTCTTAAATTAGTAATACGATTGTTAAATGAATATGGCTTCCTCATTGACTTTGCTTGTCAGAAAGGTCGCAAAAGGGTATCACATGACCCCCTCCAGACACTGTAACGGTCATAAATGTGAATTAGTTGTTAAGCAGCCAAATGTAAATTACGTGACCCTGGTGATGCTGCAACCGTCGTAGAGGTGAAAAATAGTCATAAATCACTTTTTTCAGTACCATTGTAACTTTGAACTGTCACTAAATGAATTAAATAAAGTCGAGGACTACCCGTAGAAGACAAAGAATTGGAGAAGATCACAAAGTATAAGATCTGCAAATCATACTTGAAAAATTATGGCATAAGCCTGCCATGGTGGTCTCACATGATTAAAGGCACACTGAGCACCATACCAAATCTGGGACAGCATTTAGAAAAATCTGCGCATTGCAGAAGATCAGACTGCTTGGATCCACACATATACTATGCTAATACATCATGTCATCCTAACTTCTTGGGAAGAGCTCAGGGTTGCTTCCGTTAGTGAGATGGGCAGATTATTAATTTAATGAATAAAAAAATAAGAAAGAACTTGCTGTGCATGAAGGCCAACACCAGCTAAAGAACTTGCAGCTGTGATTTTACATTGTTGTGTATATAATAATGATGATTCATTCAACTTGCTTGCCACGTCTTTAAACAACTTTGAATCCTGCCTCCCCACTTAAAGCCCTAGATCAGTGATGGCGAACCTTTTAGAGACCAAGTGCCCAAACTGCAACCCAAAACCCACTTATGCATCGTCGGGTGCCGGGTGGGTGTGGCCCATTGGCTGGGAGTGGTCCATTGGCTGGGCGTGGCTGTGGTGGTAACGGCAGACTGGGTGGGACTAAAAAGTTTAATCAGTCAATTCCAACTATGCAAGATCTTTTTCTTTCCTGCAAGAAGTTGAAATTGACTGATCGATTGAACCTTTTTTTTTGTTTTTGCACACGGCGGTGGAGGCCTAAAGCGAAATGGTGTTATAAAACCCAGCTGAAGGCCTAGGACTGGGGCGACGGTGCGCGTGCCCACAGAGAGGGCTCTGAGTGCTGCCTCTGGCACTCGTGCCATAGGTTTGCCACCACTGCCCTAGATGCTGACTGCCTAGAGCAGGGTAGGCAACCTTAGCTCTTTTATGACTCGTGGACTTCAACTCCCAGAATTCCTGAGCCAGCTATGAGCAAAAGGGACACATATTGAGTCTTGCACATACCTAGCTTCATTTATGTTTCATTAAATGCTTTCTAGTCATCATTTGTTTGTTTAGTGAAATAAATATGTTTCTCATACATTTTACCACCACTTTGTAGATGTACGTGAGAAAACTCAGGATGGCAAAACAGCTATCTACTGGGAAGTGAAGTTCCCCTTCCCCTTGGCAAACAGAGATGTATCCTTTCAACTATTTGACAGTAATTTTACTTTTAACTTTTAATAGTTACAACCTTGCTATGATCTCAGTTTTTCTCAGTTTCTGAAAATTTTTAACGGTGTACAAATTAATCCTTATTAGAAGCTTTAAAAAGTAGGATCTTTATACATGCTATTGTTTCATCTTACACTTTTTTTTGAAAAGCAAAAATAACCAAATAATTTAAAGTCCAAAAATGCAATTAAATCGGTGCTCCCTAAATTTGGGATATGTCTGGACACATAATGTATGTTGAATTTTAAAATCCTGATTGTTTCTTAAGCTTCAGTACAGTATGTTTTTGTTCGTGAACGTCGAGATACGGAGCTTGATGGGCAGAAGATCTATGTTATATTGGCTAAAAGCGTGAATACTGTTAAATTCTCAGAAAAGCCTGGGATTGTTAGAGCAAAGAATTATAAACAAGGTGTGGCCTTTGCAAGTGATGGCAAGAAAGGGTGCAAAGGTAAGAAATGAATATATAATTTTATAGGAATGGTTGATTTGATCAGAAAACATTAAATTCTAATTCAGGAGTTTGACAAGTATCTATATACCTTTGTAAAAATTAATGCATGCCTTTAGTTAGAGATTTGGATAAACATATTGCTGAAAGAATGTTTGCATAGTAGTACTGCAGGCCTACAGCCAATGATTGTTTGTAAATTCCAATACAGATAATTCTCTGTCACCAGCTAACCAATTTCTACTATTTAATTTCCACCTTGCTTCTTTCTGTTGTTCTTTGTCTCCTGCCTAGGGATTAAAAAAATATTTGTTATGGATCCCTCTGGAAGTGAATTTGAATATTTGCTGCTGTCAGATTTTTAACGGGATGCCTAGTAACTGAAAAAATAATTTGGCTAGCAACAATTAGGAGAGGGGATGTATACACTTTTAAAACTGTATGTGGTGACCAAGGAGGCCTCTTCTACCTTTCTTTAACTTTTAAAATGCCTGGTGCATTCACAGCAGCACCAGGCTCTATGAAGGGTAGAGGTTTTTCAACACTTCTTGAATTGACCACGTAATCATGTGAGAACATAATGTAAAATCAAAGCTTGCTGAAGAAATATCAACACACTTTCTGGAAAGGTAATTTCTGCCTCATTGACCTTTTAAAGTTCTTTGAAGGTATTTAGGTTATGGATAGGGATGTCGTATCCATATGTCCTATAGCAGTAATGGCGAACCTTTTAGAGACCGAGTGCCCAAACTGCAACCCAAAACCCACTTATGCATCGTCGGGTGCCGGGTAGGTGTGGCCCATTGGCTGGGTGTGGCCAATTGGGTGGGCGTGGCTGCGGTGGTAACGGCAGACTGGGTGGGATTAAAAAGTTCAATCAATCAATTCCAACTTTGTGAGATCTTTTTTTTTCCCGCAAGAAATTGAAATTGACTGATTGAACCTTTTTTTTTTTTTTTTTTGCACACAGCGGCGGAGGCCTAAAGCGAAAAGGTTTTATAAAACCCAGCTGAAAGCCTAGGACTGGGGCAATGGTGCATGTGCCCACAGAGAGGGCTCTGAGTGCCGCCTCTGGCACCCGTGCCATAGGTTCGCTACCACTGTCCTATAGGGATACAGTTTTTTTTCTTTTCTTTCTTTACTTTCACAAGACTTGCCAGAGGCTCCTGAGTGAACTCACTATTATGGAATTGGAAGATTGGTAACCTATTAAAGAACAGAAAACCGAAAGAAAAAACAAATGGCTTTAAAATAGCAATAGCAACCAAAAATTTGTTTCACTGTTTGAAAACAATTATGGGCAAATTGAAAAGCAACAAGATGGCTACATTAGCTAATCATGGCAGATTAGTTAGAATGCTTAAAAGCATTTAAGCATTCTTAATTGGAGAATGGGTAGGGCAAATATAGTTCAATATAATTTACTTAATTGCAAACAAACATGAGGAAATGCACATTTGAGAAGAAAAATTCTCACATCACATATATGCTGATGGGATTTACACTAAAATGACTAAGCAGAATTGAGCTTTGGGGCATATTCCATAAGTACTTTTAGAGAGGGCACAAAATTAAGTGACAAGCATTTAATTGGAATAGGGTGAGGATGCCAGGAATTTTATTGCTGGATGTATAATAGATTGTTGATTGAGGTGCCAGATCTTGCTTTTTCTGTTTTCCTGGTTTTATGTTTGTGAGCTGCTCCAAGTAGTATTTTATAAGAAAGGCAGCCATATAACTTACATTAATTCATTAATTTGTTCCTTTAGTGCAGGTTCTGATAAATGATATGATGGAAGCATTTAACTGAGATTGGACAAATTTATGAAGGCAAGGATTATCAGTAGTTGGCAGTCATGATGACAGTCTAGTTTTTGCAGTATCAGAGGTTATCTATCTCTGAATAGCAGTTGTGGAAGAAAAACTGAATAGGGCTTATGGAACTGACTGGACACTAGAATAAGATACTGGGATAGATAGGTTTTTAGTGTAATTCAATCTTTTTTTTGGGGGGGGGGATGATTCCAAGACTAAGATTCTTTACACTTTTGAATGGAGATACCACAGTAATCTTTCCCTTCCCTTTCCTTTGCTTCCCTTCTTTATCTCTGTTCCCCCCCCCCCAAAAAAAGAATAATTTGGTAAAGGCCAAATTTAGGTTTCCTACAAAGGATAGGTAAAGCAATGGAATTAAGGAAGGGAATGGCTTTTTCAGATTCATCTTTATTCTTTACTGCTTTTGTTTCTGGACTGGTTTTATGTGCAGTAAGTTGCCTAGAATAGAATCCACATGAGGACATTATGCAGAAGGGGGGAAATATTGATATTTGGGGATGGAAAAGGAATAAAATGTGCTCACAAACCATGTGGAATTTCAGCACATGAAATAATACTCCAGTGGAATAAGTTCCATCTATCCTTAATTCTAAATTTCAGGCATTGACTAGATAAATTAAAACAATGCATTTAAAATTGCATTTTGTTTCTTTTCTCTCTCTCTCTTTTTTTTTTTTTGATTAAAAAGTTTTCATGACCTATTTTGATGATCCTGGTGGAAGGCTTCCTTCGTGGGTTGTCAATTGGGCAGTTAAGGTAAGCAGAGTAGTTGAAGCTCTGAAGAATTGATGCTGTAGGTTAAATCAATGAGTCATTTTGATTCATGGACTCTTAGAAATGTGCAATATTGTTTTGTTGTTGCCCTTTTCCTTATATAATTTGAAAAGTGTGGATGACAGTGTCTGGCTTCTACTGTAGAAGAGATGCCAGCAATCCAGTGAGTGTGTCCCCAGAATTAATGCAAATATGAAGCCCTGGTATGATGCTTTTCTGTAAATCAAAGTATGAGATGGGTGACTTAAATGAATGTTTATTTTTTAAGTAGTAGCAAAAGAAATGCAAAGAAAATTGGTTGCTACTTAGTGTACCATTAAATATAGAAGGATAAGTATTTTTCAATTCTTGTTTCAGACTGGGGTTCCCAACTTCTTGAAAGACATGCAGAAAGCTTGCCACAGTTATCATAAGAGATAGACGGCTCTTTGTATTCAGTCTGAAGGACTGATAGATAACACTTTCCAAAGTTGGTCATTGATGTGGATATAGTCATGAGACATCACTGAATAACAGCTGCCTTTGGGGATGATAATCATGAGCCGTGGAAGCTTCCAGGCATATGATAATGGAACTTATTAAACTTTTCATTTTCCAGTCACGCCTTCCTTTTACTTTTGATGGCTTGAAAACACAGTTAAGTGTTTGTGTCTCTCTTCTTCGAGCTAAACTCTGATGTGACATGTTTCCTTGACATCAGAGAGGCTGGAGAAATTGAGTCAGTGCTGGAATCAGTGCTGTGTTAAGAGAGTTGAGTATGCAGAGCTTATCCCGCGAATTAAACTGTTGGAGCAACTCAGTACTTTGAATTCAAGTCACTGCTTCTTTTTCCAATATCAACTTCAAAGAGAGAAATCTATTCCGTATTTCTTTGACTCAAAAAAGCTGCTGTTCATCAAAGCCAATTCCCTCTTGACCTGACCATCTTCCAGAGGCATTCACAGAATCTAGTGCTTTCAAGAAAGTGATATAAGCAGTATGGCACTTATAATGCAAGCTGTGCCCCTTTCTTACTTTTGTGCAACTTCATAACACACTTATCAAAGGTGCAGATCTTATATAATAACTTTAAATCCTGCTTTTGTGTTTGCCTTCATTGACTCTCTCCCCCCATACCTCTAAAAGCAGCAGGAATAAATAGAGCACATTTTTATCCATTGTCCTTAGCAAAGAAAGATCATATAGACTAGTGTATATTTGGGAAAGCTACACTTTGTGTGTGTGTGTGTGTGTGTGTGTATGTAAAACTAATACAGCGTTGGTGCAAACCAACATATTTAGGAAAATCATGTACAAAAAAATGAATTGCTTAGTAAAGAGCCAGTACTAGGGTAATCACATAAACTAGCACACACACACAAACACACATGTATTAGTATGCATGTATATGTCTTTCTGTGTGTATAGTAGAAAGAATATCCAAAATACATCTGGCATTATTTCAGATTTGTCTGGGCATTTTTCTTTTTCATGATTCACTGAAAAATTAAATGGGAAAGGGTAGAATTTGGATACAGTACATCTGACACTGATACATGCCATTACTTTGTTCTCTTCATGGGAATTTCATCTGTTTTGAATCTTATATCTTCCAAGCAATGTGGTTTAAGCAGCTCCTTGAAAGTTAAATAGATGGGAGTTTCACCTAGAAATTTTGTTATATTTAATCATTTTAAAAAAATCTGGCCTTTCTCCAACAAAAACCATATAGACTCATTAAAACTGAAAATCCTTTTCAGTTAGAGGGGGACATGAAAGGAGCTTCCCCAAAGAATGTGTGCTGTTAACACATTTGGGTGTCCTCTGGAGAACAGTTTATAGCTGGCTAATCCTTTCAATCCCGAAGCATCCAAAGTATAGTGAGGTGCTCATTTCCACCTGTGACACTATGCGTATCCCAAAAAGGACCTTTTCGGCTCCACAGATGACTATTATTTCAGTAAACATCAGGGTTTGTCCAAAAGTACAACTGTGATGTCCTGTATATACAGGAGACCCACAGAGACCATCTTCAGGGAATATCTAAAATACAGAGCACGTGGCTTGTAGCAGAGACGCCTCACTGACAACATGGCAGATTAGGTTTTGTGAAGCCTGGGATCCAGGTCCGGTTCACAACAATATCAGAAATGAATAACATAAAAGCAATAACTGTAGAGCTGAGCATCTGTATGGTCACTTCAATGTATATAAACCATTATTGACTGAGATCAAGGATGACGGATTTAATACATTTAATAAGGATAAAATAAATTTTGTCACTGGAGACTTTAATTGTCACAGCAGCATCTGAGGGTATCCTGATGATGATGACAGTAATGGGTAGGCTGTTATACAGTGGGCCGATTTGAATAACCTGCCTCTTTCACATGATAAGATGTTACCAGCTTCATTTAACAGTGGAAGGCAGCGCAGGGGATATAACCCAGACTTTATATTTGTGAGCGACCGTATAATTCAGCAATGTGTCATAGTGTGCCCATCTAGCCCAAATTCCCAACACTAGCCATTATCTGTAAGGTTACCACTGTAGTTCAACCTCATAGTATCCCCTTCAAATATAGATATAACTTTTAAAAAGCCAATTGGCCTAAATTTCAGAGACTATTGGACAGTGCTGTTACTCCAGTAATACCTAAACTTTGCTATTACAACAAATTTGTGGAGGTCGGTAAAAAATGTTTCTGGTTGTCAATCCCATGGGGCTCCATAGCCAACCATATCTAAGGTCTTACAGCAGAAACAGGACAAAGTGCAGAGTCACACGGGCAGAGGTGTTCATATGAGAGAATCTTTCAATATCTGTCATTAGTGGCTTTTTATTTCCTCAATATCAATAATTATTAAAGATTGGCGAGAACTGACATTTTTCAGAAGGTCAGTTGCCTTGGTGCCGTCTTATGTCTTATTATATCCCATCCTGTATAATGTTTCACAAGGGACAGAATATATTCTCTGAAAGAGATTTTTTTCCTCCAGATTGAAAATAACCCTTGATTATCAGAAGAGTTAGCCCTCTTGAGATAAGCATAAATTCTAGTCAGTTGTTAAAAAAACACAATCCAGATTTTGGCCACAGTTTTTGTAATTCCCAGTCCTAATCTTAAAGCTATGTTGGACACACATTGAGGGACTTGCATAAGTGCTCTTAAACTTAGACTGCACCTTTTCTTCTGGAGCTAAGACTAAAGCCATGATTTTCACCATACAGCTGCTGTGCCATTATTTCTACTTCCAATAGTTTTAGAGCAGCTAGACTGTAACGCTCAACTTTAGGGAAATAGAAAGACAAAATAGCCATAGCACTCCAATTGGCCACCTGGGATACACTGGCCAGATGTGGACCTCTGCTTTCAAATGAATGGAAAGGAGGGAATGTTATAAAATCACAGTTTGGCAAGGAGGAGAATTAAACTTCCTTCCTCTTATATTTCCTGTAATATATATCCACCCCTTAGAACACATAGGTAGTTGTATATCCTATGCATTTATTACAGTTTGTCCATTGGTCCTATTTAAAGCAGACCCATAAAAATCAATTGGATTTGGATTAATCATATGTAACTTATGCCCGGTGGATTTTATGCCCCTTCCAGCAATGATGTAATACAGTTTGCCAGGTATGAATTGACATTTCTGTTCTTTGCTCCCCTCACTCCATTTCTGAGACAGACAGTCAAAACAGGAAGCTAGTTGAGTTTCAGGGAACACCAGAGGTAACTGATCTGCTGAGTTTGGTCTAATGGGTTGCAACTCTAATTTATTGGAAAGAGAGATTGCATATTGCACTAATTGGTGAGGGTGGATGGATAGAAAAGTGGATGTGGGTGAAAAAGGTTGTCATAAATCTACAATTACTACAAGCTGTTACTTAATTTAAAATGCATTATTTTCTAATCATTATGTGAGCCAGAAAGATACGGACTATTTAAAAATTCAAAGAAAGCCATTCCACTCTGCCTGGATCTGCTTCATAATTCAGTGTTCAACTAATACTGAGGCACTGCCTATTTTCCATTCTTCCACTGGAAATTTGCAATTCTAGCCATATGCTATAGCTTAAAGTTGTTCAGGAGAAAAGTAATCAGCAAGAATGCACTGATGATGTCACTTAGTTTTGGTACTTGTTTTCTCGGCAAGAAAAAAATCAAGCTCAGAGAGCACCAAGGACCCCTCAATCAGCAAAAAGCCATTTCCAGAACCTATTTGGATTCAGACTGGTACACTGTGTGATGATACTTAGAGAGATGTACCTTTGTCTTCCCACCCTTTTCTGTTCCATTAGCTTTGAAATGGCCAGTGACCTGCGTGAGAATTAAAAGGTTGGCCAGATGTTTCCTGAACAAGAATCAGAGTTCTGTTTCCCCTTTGCAGGTCATCTTGCAAGAGATGAAGTTATAATGCGTTCAAATGTTAGAATTTCACAAAATTGGTAGAATTTTAAAATAAGATCTGTTTGAAAATATGGATAAAAATATATGAAAATAATTAGAGGTATAAAAAGTTTTAAATTATCAACAGATTTATAAATAAGAAAGCCTTTTGCAAAATAGATGCCTTTACTAGTCTTGTTTGCTGTGTTTTGTAATTCAGATACATCATAAGAGAAATCTATGTGTAACGCATTTCTCCTGCTCTCACTCACTCTATATCAGTAATGGCGAACCTTTTAGAGACCGAGTGCCCCAAAACTGGCCCTGCCCCTGCTCCACCCCCTGCCCTGCCCCCACTCCGCCTGCCCGCAGGGCCACTCACCGCCTCAAGGGCCCACCGTAGATCGGCCAGGCATCCCAGCAGCGCCATGGCAGCCACACCCTCTGCCCACGCCCCGCAGCATCAACTGTGCAGCATGGGGTGTGAGGGCAGAGTCTTGTCTACGCTGCACTGCTCTGTGTGGGCCACGCTTGGGGGCAACTCTCCTCCAGGGGGGCTGCTGGTGAGGAGGGGGTTGTGGGGGGAGGCGAGGCTGGGGCAACGGCACGTGTGCCCACAGAGAGGGCTCCGAGTGCTGCCTCTGGCACGCGTGCCATAGGTTCGCCACTACTGCTCTATATAGTTGCATTCAAATGAGTTTGCAGTCTTGCTCCCTTTTCTGATTTCTTATGAGATTTTTACAAATATTAAGAAAGAATATAAAGAATTTCAGTCCACATGACAGAAAAGAAAATAGACTCTAACTCAGTGGTTCTCAATGTGCCACGCATGCGCTGCGTGGCACGCATGCGTGGTGCCGCCCCCATGCGCGGCGCGCATGTGCGGCGCCGCCCCCTGAGGGGGAAAAATGGCAGATCGCCTTGTTTGGCGACCCCCAAGAAATGGTCGATCGACCCCAAATGGGGTCGCGACCCATAGGTTGAGAACCGCTGCTCTAACTGCACAACCTATGGTCCTCCTAATGTTTGAGAAACCCAACTATGAATATCCCTACATCACTTTTGGCTAAGTAGGGAAGGCTTCTACCTGTTGTAATTCAGCAACATCTTCACCTCTACTTTAATGCAATTAAAACTCTCTGATGAAGCACTTTCAGGGACAAAATGCATTAATTTGTGAAGTAATTTCTACACGAATGAAGGTGAATATACGTGTCCCAGGATAATGTTGCAGGATTCAATCTGGGTCGGTCACCAGGACCAGAAGTTTCGTTTTCCGAGCTTTCGGACTTGTGCTTCAGCCCCTCCTCAGGGAACGTCTCTCCAGTTTCTACAGTTTGGACTATATAATGTATTGACCAAATATTTGTTTCCTGTCAGGGTTCTTTACCTGTTCAGGTGGTAGCTTCTTCACCTGTGTTCATGGAGATTCTGTTTCCATATGTATATTAAGTGGCAATCTGACCAGAAGACTCATTGAATCATATGATTATACCAATTATGTTTTTGCAAAACTGCAACGAGATGTATTGGGTGGGAGATTGAGTTTGAAACATAATAAAATTGACTTCGGAAGTCAGTTTCTGAATTTTCTTTATTCTTGTGTCAACAATACAGAAATTGAGTTATAATCCTTACATGAGAAATATTGTGAAGCTGCTGACCTTTGCCTGTTGTTTGTTTATTCCAGAGTCTGGTATTCAGATGAATCTCCATGACTACTAGCCATTTAGTTAAATTTATCCTCAGTGTACCTATCTAAGCCTTTCTAAACCCGTCTAAACAAGTGGTGAGCATCAATTATTGCTTAATTGGTGAGTTCTCTTCAGTGAATTTGATGTTGGCCAAACAATCACTTTGTTCTGATAATTCTGGATGTATTTGCAATTAGGGTCACATCCACCCAACTGCTGTGCTGTGCTAT